CCATGTACATGTAAACACATGAGTTTTGTGCTGACATTAAATCTACCCCTTTGTCTGCTTTTGTTACACAAACACTGGCCCAGCAGGTGAATACTAGTATTGATTTCCAAATATTCCTTTATCTGACTCATCAATATTTCAAGCTGAATTCTTTCCAGTGAAATAAAGTCTTTTTATCATGTGAAAAGTAGCATTTTGAAAAATCTTGATTTGTAAACTATTCCGATATTATGTGGAACCTAGAGGAAATGTGTAATATGTATGTGGAATAGGATGTAATGTAATGAAAAAGGCCACACTTAGTGACACTTACATGTACAATACACTGCTTAAACGGCTGTAATCATCTGAAATACTGTTGTCTGGTGTTGTTGTATACTTCTAGATCTGAACTGATTAAAATTAAATTGGTGGTGGAGGGGGAGGAATTGATTCAACACTGTTTGAGGAAAAGAAATATTCAAGGCCTAGAAATGTGAAATGCTGCTGAGTGTCAAAGATATATTATAGCTGTGAGTTTTGACTCTGCTGGAGAGAGAGTTCAATAAGGAAATGTCCAAGGTATAAAAAGATCCTTTATTTCAATGGAAGGATGGGGACTTTATAAAGGACAATCCTGTTCTTGGTGTACCTTTATACAGGTGTGTACAGGTAGCAGTGGTAGATATATATACTGTACCTGTTGACAAATAAGTCTGACTATTGATTTTACTGATCTGGCCCAGGACCTCCCAGATGGTGACTAGAGAAAGTTGGGATGATTTTTAAATGAACATAAACCCGTGTCACGTTTAGGTGTATTTCCAGGTCAGTAAAAGTATGGTACCTGTCGTTAAACACGTGTCCCGTTTAGCTGTATTTCCAGGTCAGTAAAAGTATGGTACCTGTCGTTAACCTGCAAATGGTTTGATTTTTTATTTAATAAATATCTTTGTCCAACACCTGAGATACCATTGTAGTTGTTTTTATATACAGTAGCCTTGTAGATTTCAATGTACTACTGGGTTAATTAGGGTAAATTCTGTTGACTCGGTATAGCTCTGGGTCAGTTAGAGCAACAAAATACCAATCTGAGATCCAGGGTTCATCGCCTGGTACTAGCCCTGCTGATTTGTTTTTTTCACTCAGAACATTGTTGTTGATATTAATTATCTTTATTAGTTATATTTTTTTTTTATAAAAGTCACATTAGGTATGTATGTTTGTGTTTTCAGAAATGATTATCAAAGCTATAGCCGTGTCGGAAAAAACAAGTTTTCAATGCATACTTATCCTAAGTCTTCACTCTCAGATACACGTACAAAGTACAAAGTGAGGATAAGATATGTCATCTGTCCAGTAATCTAGATAAGTCGTAGTTGTACGTAAGTTGTCTGCATTAATCCATTCACCCCTGAAGACACATTTGCACTCTTCCAATTCAAAGGTTGGAATAGTTCATTATGAAATTTCAGGTTTGAACTGACATATTCTTTACATAATATAAAACTCAATTTGAATGGGTACCTGTTATTTTATTATAACCGAGTAAAGGAAATCATTATCTACAAAGTTTACATACAATGTTTGTTGTTACAGTCTTCATTGTACTTTTCCATACCAAAGGAATTTCCATATAAAATATTATAATATATACCCAGAGGTAAATACCCAGGAATAGCCAATATGAGGCAACCAATGCTGCCGTTCTCCTTTTTGATCTGTATTGAATATATATTGATTTTTTTTGTTCACACACACATCATACATATGTAAAAGGGTTAACATGAACTGCTCAATAACTAGGTTTCTATCAAGGTCAGTATGTAGAAATTACTGATCTATTAAAATTCTTGTATCTTTGAAAAATCGTAAGATTTGGATGTCAGTGTACGGAATTGATTGGCTAAACTTGACATGATGCCAACAGTGTCATTGTGTGTGCTGTGTCATCCAGTGTATATGTAGGGTCTAGGCACCGTACTGTACAGGGGATGGGCGGACGTCATTCCTACCCGGTCAGTCGAGGTATTAGTGAGCTGAGTCTAGTCAGGTCTGTGTAGGAGTTTTAACATGGGTTAAAACAAAAGCTAAGAATGATCAACAAAATCTAGGCACAATGATGCGAGATGGTGCCATTTAAAATATAGAAACAAATGTTAATTATTGTATACGAAACAAACACTGATAACAGTGTATATTTACAATGTATTATTAAATATATGCTAATTACAGTATATAACTAGTGTGTATGTAATGTATAGTTACAGTTGTGTATATGTATTAAACAGTTGTATATTTAACAGTAGCTTTATACAGTATTTATACAGGACATCCACCATGGCAAGCTGGTAAGACAAATAATTAAATAAAACAAGGACACCAAATCTGAATTGAATATGGCCGTTTATTACAAGAAACGACGGTTGTTATGACGTTCACATTTTGTCATATAAATAGACCCAAAAAGTCTTAGATGGGGGTCCTATTCCGCCATACACAATATAATTGATGCAATATTAATGCTAGTTGTAATACATAATTTTGACACACAAATACATGATATAACATCGATACATTTCTTAACAATCGCATAAAAAATTGTTGTACACCAATACATAAAGTTATGCGCATTCAGAAAATTCTAACAAGAAAGGAGGAAAGTAGGGGATGGTGGTGGGTAAAGTTTATCTTGTATATACTAAAATCTGTGATCAGATAAAACAATACAAAACTTTACAAGTTGAAATAAAATTGACCTTGACCGTACGAACCTTGTTCCGCCATCTTCTTTTATCAGCTTCTGAATAGGAGCTGCTGCGTCATTTGTATTTATAGTGATCTAATTATAGCAACATATCAATGCGCGCATGTAACCTGTCGGACCGCATCACTCATACCCCAACATACCTCCTTCCGCAAATAAAAATAGTTACGTAAAAGCATGTAAGTCTGACTGCATAAATTACATTAAAACAAGTTTTAATTTGTATTTATACAGGACATCCACCATGGCAAGCTGGTAAGACAAATAATTAAATAAAACAAGGACACCAAATCTGAATTGAATATGGCCGTTTATTACAAGAAATGACGGTTGTTATGACGTTCACATTTTGTCATATAAATAGACCCAAAAAGTCTTAGATGGGGGTCCTATTCCGCCACAATGATTACTGCAACACCAGGCTAATACATAAATAAAACGAGGTGCAGCAGAAATCATCCCCCATAAATATTTAAATATTGACAGTTGTTGGATGTACGTAACTTGTTGAATGTCACACTGTGAACCTTGTAGTCAGAGGTCAAGGTCACAGTTGAGTGTAATATATTAGCCAATGTCAAGGTTACATCATTAAGAGTCATTATTGTCAGTAGTGTTTTATAAATAATAAAATAAATAGATGTACGACATTTGATATAGTGCCCTATCTAACTAGAATATAATTAGCCACTCTAAAGTGCTTTACAGCACGTGCACATATACAATTTTTACAATCAATACAATTAACATGTACATGGAATAATACATTATTCAATACAATTTTGAGGAATTTGCAGGAGCTGCCTTATCAGGCGCTAACTACTAGTCCTATGCCACCTGGCTAATATCTCCCTCAATGTGTGTATGCCTGTGTGTGTGCTGGAGATGTATTGTGTTCTGTTTGTAGTGGGACCATGCTTTCAACAGCATCTTCATAGTGCCACCTCACTTGAATGCTACATCACAGATACTGCAACACCCACCCCATACCATTTTATAGTCCACCTGGTTTGTTGGAGTTGTGGGGGCAGGAGAATAACACTTTCTCTGAATATCTCATGCTTACGTCAACTTCGGGGATCAAAACCCAGCCGTCTGCATGGAAGGCAAGAGTGTTAAATACTCGGCGAATCAGCCCATATTTCTTAAACTTAATTATATATTAGTTTATCATTAATTTACACATCAGAAGAAGTATACTCTAAACTTTTCTATAAGACATCCGGTATCCTAAACTTTTCTTTCTTATGTCAAATTAGACATTATTCATCGTATCATGTATACAATCTTTACCCTTTTTTCATACAATTATACATATACTATAACATACCTGTGAGTACCTGTTATTATGTCGTCGTGACCTGCTACCATATATCTGTTGACATACAAAATTGAAATCTAGGGTCCCCTTGTCAGGACAGCTATTGTAATTATCTATAAAGGGATCAATTTAATACAGAAAGACGGCTTTGTTTTGGAATAAAAGGATTGGGGACCGTATCGTAATGTTCAAATAAATTGATTTTTTTCAGGTTCCGGTAAGATTATCTGATAATACAGTAAGTGCTATTCTTCTGGACGTTAGCAGGCCTTCATACCAGTACATATAGACACAATCATAGGTATTTTATTTATCTGATAATACAGTAAGTGCTGTTCTTCTGGACGTTAGCAGGCCTTCATACCAGTACACATAGACACAATCATAGGTATTTTATTTTAGGCTTATATTTTACCTTTCAGTCATTCACAAATTATACTCAAATCCCTCAAACATATAAAAGGATAAAAGCCGCTCTGTAAAGGAATAATGATAGACTGTTTCAAATGTATAAATATTTGTGTTTATTGAGCAACTGTTCGATTGTAACAAATTTAGTATAACTATACAGACTTGGGCTTAATATAAGCTAATCAGAAACTCCAGGACTACTAAAAATAGGTGATGATGCTGTATTTATTACAAATTTACGCATTATATGTTAACTTTGTCCTCGCAAGGTAGTTCAGCAGATGTTTGTTTTAAAGCAAATTATAAATTCTATAACATGTGTTTCAACATTTATTAGATATTATGTACAGTAAAAACCATGTTATTTTGTGATAGTCTAGCAATCTGTTTTCTTGTTTCTGATTGTATCCAGAACATTTGTAACGTCCCGTTTTTATCGAAATTTCCCGACTAATGTTAGTTCCCTTGTGTACTGAAGTACACCAATGTGCTAAAGTGATGTCTGGCTTTGTGTGATTACAGGACAAAGTTTCTCGGTGTAAGCCAATGGAGACCACTAGATCACATCCATCTGTATACGTATCATGCCAGAATCTGCCGCAGAAGAACGAGGGGGGAGTAGATTGGGCTCTGGAAATCGAGCCACACCAAACTCCGCTACCCAGGGTAATATCAGTGCCCAACTAGAGGCGAACAGAAAGAGGATTGGATCTGCTAAATACTACGACATTGCATCTACACTAATGGGCAAAGGTCACACAGGTGACCTTGAGGAGCTCTTCCTGGCAGCGGCAAGAGTATGTAAAAAATAGAGTTTACAAAATTTTTATGAAAGTATGCTGTCAGTTTTAAAATTCAAGAGTTGAAAATCTTAAATTCAGCAATAAACAGAATAAACTGATTTGAAATTGGTCTTTACATTTGATTTGTATAAAAAAAAACGTAAAATCATATGTCAATTTAAATATTTAAATTGAGTAAATTGTTAAGTTACCTGTTTAATTATAACACGTAATTGATTGAATTTAAGGATGGGGACTACGATAGAATAGAGGACTTCCTGTTACGGAGTGGAAAGGACCACTTGGTCAGTATCGATGTCAAGGACAAACGGACCGGAAACACATCTCTGATCTGGGCTGCCAAGCGTGGCCACACTAAGGTCAGTAACCTGTTACAGTGTTCCACTGGGATAACCAAGTACCCGTATTGTTTTTTGGGTTAAGGCTTCTGATGTCAGGTGCTCATTCACAGAATGCTAGATATTTTTTAGTTTAATAACTTGTCTTAATATATCGTATTTGATAGTAAATAAGCCCCCGGCCACCCCTAGTGAAATAAGATTGACCCCTGTTTACAACATGATGTCAGCCATCTTTGATATTCACCTGCTTCTTTCACCACACTGCATTTCATGTACTTATTATTTTTGATATTGTAAATGTGCTGTTATTTTGTCTTTGATCAGCTGGTCTCCCGGCAATTCATTTTACACCATCTTGTATAATTTCTTATTGATAAGCCAATTAGTACTTTAATTGTTAGAGCCAGTGCTAGCCTCTCAGGCTATTAACTGTTTGGCTACAGCCATTTTAGACACACTGGAACTAACTACTCAAGGAATTTTTAGTATAAGACTGCTTTAACACAAAACCACTGACTACATTGCTCAAAAACAAAAATACAACTTATCCTAGTACACACTGGTAGGTCTTATATTTTTTTCTGATATAAAAACTACATTGCTGATATAAAGGGATTTTTCTGAAATTCTTGGTATACTTGTGGAATGATTGATTTCAAGCAGAGTGTGCTCCTAACAAAAAGTCTTTCAGTGTCTTTCTGCCTTATTACAATTTTGAAAATCTCCTTGTTCAGAATGAAACTATTCCTGTTAGTTGCATTGTAAAACAGGGTGTCTTGAAAATCTCTTGAAACAGCTTTACACTAGGACCAAGAATTATCCACAATTATAATGTATACATTTCCACTATAACTATATAAGTTCCTCTATAAGTATTGTACCAGGAGAAATTGTGTTCATAGAGCTATGAATGCAATTGGATCAGCGTCATTTTGAAATTTCTCCTCCTGCCTCGATTAAAAAGAGACAACCACTAGAAACAAACATTTTGGTGATATTAGACTGTTCAAGGAATCTTATTTGCACTGACGACACAGACACTTCAATATCGAAAATAAAAGGGAATACCTTATTTACCGGTAGATTGATAATAGCTGAGAATATAGAATGTAAATATAAAGATTAAACAGTATTTTTTCAATGTTCATACCAGTATGAAATTGAAAAAATGCCGTTCAAACCTTATATGGTCATAGGACAATTACCAGCTTTCTGTTGTAAATGATGTTTTCTTCCTGGTTTTTTCAGATTGTTCAGCTGTTATTGAGGCAAGGTGCTGATATAACTCTGAGGAACTATGAAGGGAAGACTGCTGTTGAGGTGGCATCAACGTCTATTAAGACTCTCCTCCTTGATTCCATTGACCGGTCGACAGAATCGTCTCACAGACTGCTGCTCCAGGCAGGTTGGCAGGGCGATGTTGGGGTCCTCAACAAACTTTTGGTTTGTACAACTTCTCACAATGTACAGTAGCTGTATTATAGACTAGCTAGTCGTATTCTTGTAGTGTAGACCATAGCTAATTAGTTGAGTTGCACGTTAAAGATTTCAACTTTTCCCCTTTATAACACAGCTTTTTATATGTGGCATTGCTTGTTTGTTAACTCATTCAACCCTAGATTTTAAACTGAACTTGCCCAATCTTTGATTTGGTAAGGTTCAAATGTAACTTTAGGGGTGAATGGGTTAACATGTCTTTACTATCTTGATGTCTTGTGACCCGTCAGTATATATCGCCTTCAACATTAGTACATATAATTATAAAAATGGAAACTGCTGTTGTGTTGACAGCCTTTAAAGACAAAACATTAAGTTCAGTTATGTCACTTTATTTCGGTTTTTGTTCCCACTTCTACAGGTAAATTCTGTGTTTATTGTGCTTTGTTTGGATGATGCCTATTACTTAGAATGGGAGGAATCACTTCAGCCTGTACATGTCTGCTACTATTAATACAGGGATGAGGACATTTAAACCTTCAAAATTCACCGCAAAGTTTACAAAGTTTGCCAGCAAAAGATTTGTTTATGGTCATAGACCCACCTATTAATGTTGTAGTGTATATGAGAAATTCTCGACCATAGCTGTTGATAGGACGTTAAACAATACTAAACCTCTGGCAGTGACCTCATTTTAATGTTGTAATGTATATGAGAAATCCTGGAGCAGTGACCTTATTTTAATATTGTAATATATATGAGAAATCCTGGGGCATGCAGTGACCTAGATTGTTTATATTTAGTGCTGACCAGTTGTTAATTGAGGTGACATCTTATGTATACTGTATTAGGCCTGTGATAATGGGTGCTCAACTCAGTTGCGTGTGTCTGTTAATTAACCATTTACATGAAGTGTACACAGCACCACCAATAGTACAGACATTGATTTATAGATTCCCAGTGTTGTAGTGTTACTGAGTCTCCAGACCTAAGGGCAAACAAGCTTGTGTTGTGTTGAGGCATCTAATTTTTGTCTTTCTTTAACATTTCCTTTTAAAACACTACTAGTACAGAATAGCTGAGCAGATTTTGACTTAATTTGGTCAGGAGCAAAATTTGGCTAGTTAAGTACTCAATATTGTATCTGCTGCAGGTGTGTCCCTTACTTGGGACAGAGTTTGGGGGCCTTATAGGAAAAATGAGGGTTAATTGTTAAAACTTTATTTCTTCAGTATGGATGAAGGGATATTAACCAAATTTGGTCTGGTCAGCACCCGTGGGCCGAGGACACTTTGTTTAAAAGTTAGGACTAGGTATGGGGCCCCATACAGGAATATCAGTTTAACAGCTATACTATTTAAAACAATTGAGATCCCCAATAGATACCCACATAAACACATAGTTGGTATAAAGAGACAATTACATCCATGGTGCCAGGTTGGACATTTGGTCCTGCCTGCTCCCGGGGACTTAATCCCTTGGTCATATTTTTGCTGAGCATGAAGAAACAAATGCATCCATGCTATCAGGATTTGGGTCCAGCTGGCCGTAACATGGGAATAGTCCAGATCCCATCCCTATTACAGTATGTAAAATCACTGGCCATAAAGGCCTTAGTATAGCTCAATAATGGTGACACATTGGGGAAGGGTTTGTATTTTTTGTACCAGGGTTGTTTCAAGCCACACTATGTTATAAAAATGAAAGCTCCATAACGTGCTGTCTGTTTGACTCTGTTTTGAGGACTATAGACCCCCCTGGACTTAACACAGGTGAAATAGGATGTTATCAACACAAATAGCTGGTTACTAGTAGTGCAATATTTCTATCCTGTATTGATTAATGTGAAAAGTGGTCGACCTAGACGGTCATCGCCATGTGACAGATCTTGCTGTAACATTACAATGTTTATTATTATATACCCAGTAAATTAGGCGATGTATGTTAGAATGAGGTTGTCCGTCCATAGATCTGTAAAATGAGGGAGTCCTGCTCTTACTGAAGGAGGTTTGACAGCTATGAGGGGGCGAGGACAGATATGTATTTAGCCTGTGGCACACAATTCTAGTTGCACATGTATTTAGTGTCTTCATAACACAGTAATAATTTAATGTTTCACCATGTTCCTTTTATAATAGGTGACACTTGAAATTGGACTGGCATTGCACATAACTTAGAAACCATAAAGGAAAAACATAAAAAGCACTGAAATAAACTCACTGCTGTTAAGTTCACAGCAAAACTGAACACATAAACTTTTATAGTTTTACAGTATTATGTGTCAAAAGACGTGGGAAAACTAATAGGGACTCATAAAGGACCGGTCTATGTATGTGCACCTTGTGCCATTTATTACTTAATTCTTGCTATTTTTTAATATTTCTGTACTGTAATTCCACATAACACAATTGCTAAAAATGTGCAACTTATAACTTTTGCATCTTATACTCTGCACAAAAAAACTTGTCCGATTTACGACACAAAACTGAATGGGTGCATATATTTCAAGTGTTTAACTTTATGTAGTTTGGTTTTGTACTGCAGGCTAGATACCATATAATTAGTTAAAATGGGGTAAAATCTGTCTTGTTTACGCCTGACTTGGTTCTGACAGATCAATTATTACGCTCCACTGCTGTCTATTGATAGGAAATCAAGTTTTCTACATGACTTAGCTCAGTAGTTCTGTATAGAGTTGGATTTCAGACTGTCTTTCCTTATTTATCCCAGCTGACATGCTGACTCCAATGAAACTGAAATGTGAATCTGTAAGTGCCAGTTGACATGGATCAGAAGTGAAATATCTACCTGACATTGTACATATACCTACAGTCACCACTTTTTATAGTGTGTTTCCCCAGCCAGCAATTCCCAAGATAAGCTGTATCAAACATGACTTAATTATTATTGCTTTCTATCTTATAATTTGCATATACTATAAGTTCAGTAGAGAAAAGCATTTCTGAGCTGTTAAAAGGCATGAATATTTAAAAAATATAATCACCTATTGTTAGCACTGAGCAGTTTTTATTAAAGACAAAAAAACTCGTTTTAAGGAGTAAACATTGAAGTGACATATTTATGATATCTTTTAATGCATATTAATATAATTTTTATTTGTCCCCCACTTTTACTACCGAAGAGGACTGTCAGTCTTCCTTCAGTCGGTTGATCTACCACTATGTCATTGTGTCGCCTGCGAAAAGCTGGTGACACATAGGTATTGCTATGTCGGCAGCGTCGGCGTCGTCCACACAGAGGTTTTCATGCGATAACTTGAGTTTCCTTGGGCCGATCAAACTCAAACTTCATGCAGTGCTTCCTTACCAAAAGTGCTTGCTTGGGATTGCTTTTCAGGTCTGAAGGTCAAAGGTCAAGGTCACTGTTACTATAAATAGAAAATATGTTTTCGTGCGATAACTTGAGTTTCCTTGGGCCGATCCTTAACAAAAGTGCTTGCTTGGGATTGCTTTTCAGGTCCGAAGGTCAAAGGTCAAGGTCACTGTTACTATAAATAGAAAATCTGTTTTCGTGGGATAACTTGAGTTTCCTTAGGCCGATCAAACTTAAACTTCATGCTGTGCTTCCTTACCAAAAGTGCTTGCTTGGGATTGCTTTTCAGGTCCGAAGGTCAAAGGTCAAGGTCACTGTAACTATAAATAGAAAATATGTTTTCGTGCGATAACTTGAGTTTCCTTGGGCCGATCAAACTCAAACTTTTTGCAGTGCTAAGCATACATGCATTTTCAAGAAAAAAAAATATGGATACCAATGAGGCGTTGCTGGTCTTGCTGGTGCGTAATCTCCCAGCTTCCTGCGCAGGCGACACATCCACTTCCATGGAATTCTTGTTTTTCTCATATATTCTTTCACATTTGCCACGTTTTGTTTTTAGTAAGTATGTGACAATGTATCTTTTGGGATGACGGTGTGTCGCAGTAAATTTGGGTCATAAGCCCCGATAAATAATGAGAAATGGCCCTTTGTTCACTCTGTCAGGAGCAGTTCTCAAATGCTGTTAAAATGACCAAACTTTGTAGATGAGTACCTCTTGAGATGGTGGAGTGTTGTATGCTGAAATCAAGTCTTGTGCTCTACTTTAAATGAGATATGGCCCTTTGTTCACCATACATTTCTTTGTACGGGGAATTAGTCATAGATACACTTTGTCATGGACTTGTACTGAAATCAGGTCTGGAGTTCATACAGAGTTATGGCTCTTTGATCATTTCTCAAACTGTCCAGAGGTGAGGGTCTATGGAGATTTAGCTAAATGGCTTGTTTAAATGTGTAAATCTTGTTAAGATTCTACGTTGTTGTTTTCAGAAAGAGAACAAGGTGAAGGACATCAACTGTAAGAACGCAGAGGGTCTGACGCCACTCCTGCTGGTCGCTCGAGACATCCAGTTATTTGAACACCTCTCTAAACAGCAAAACCGCCCCTACAACCCTGCAGAAGTCGTCACCACTCTCCTGGCTCACCGGGCGTAAGTTAAATTTCATCAGTAGTGCATTGAAACCTAACCTTACTCACATCAAAGGACACATAAGAATTAAAGATAAACATATTAAGCAATAAAATCCTCTCCGATCTTGGAGGCACGGTAGTCTAGTGGTAGGACGCCGGGCTCGGCACCAAATGGTTGCAGGTTGGAGTCACATCACAGCACTGTGTTGTATCTTTGAACACGATACTTTACTCCGCTTGTTCCAGTCTACTCAGCTGTAAATGAGTATGTAGTTGGACAGTGCCGGAATTGTTGAATGCTAGCTGTGAGCACTGGCTGTATGCTTCCCAGGGAGTTGAGCAAGATATTGGATGGTTGCAAAGGCTCAGTATAACCACGGATAATAATTTGTGAACCACATTGAGACTTATCACAAACTAGTTTGTGATAACCTTGCACTATTATTATTATTATTATACATGTCATATCCTTAAAGTCAGTTGTCAGTGAAGTCCAGTTTTACAACACATGGAGATGTTTCTGAACTCAAGGTACCATACATTATAACAGAGATTTCACATAAACCCTTTCTTCCATACACATTGAACAGTTAAGCCACTTTGCCCCTGAATACTCAAGTCAACCCATCTACACAAATAGCTAGCTAAAAAAGAAGCTACTGTTCGCTAGCATCCTTCTAGATGGCTAGTTTACTCTTAAACAATGAAGTACAGAATCAGGATGTGTTGTACATTGGCTAAAGGTTAGGAAACCACTACTTAGCATACATTATATACGGGTTTGTAGTGTTTTATTATAAAAGTAATCTTATGCTGACATACACACCACTAATATACATTTTAAGGCCACTGATGGCTGTATATTTGTCCCCTGTAAGTTTTAATGTCTCACCTGGTCCTATAGGTGAACAATACAGCACTCATGTATCCAGCTTGTGTCCAGTGTCTAGCTTGTGTCCAGTGTCTAGCTTGTGTCCAGCTTGTGTCCAGCTTGTGTCCAGTGTCTAGCTTGTGTCCAGCTTGTGTCCAGTGTCCAGCTTGTGTCCAGCTTGTGTCCAGTGTCTAGCTTGTGTCCAGCTTGTGTCCAGTGTCTAGCTTGTGTCCAGCTTGTGTCCAGCTTGTGTCCAGTGTCTAGCTTGTGTCCAGCTTGTGTCCAGTGTCTAGCTTGTGTCCAGCTTGTGTCCAGCTTGTGTCCAGTGTCTAGCTTGTGTCCAGCTGTTGATTCTGTGTCGGTTTTAGTGACAGTAAACCCTCTGGGAGGAGGCAGGCCTGTACAGTGTAGTTTTTATTAGCTCACCTGGCCCGAAGGGCCATGTGAGCTTATGCCGTACTGCGGCGTCCGTCGTCCGTAGTTCGTCGACCGTCCGTCAACTTTTTCTTTTGAACGACTTCTTCTGAAGAACTGTAGGACCTAGGGTCATGATATTTGGTCAGTAGGTACCTGAGATGTAGTGCTATAAAGTGTTCTCATTAAAATGATCTTGACCTACTTTCAAGGTCACAGCGGTCAAATATGTTAGGACCAGCAGTGAGATTTTTTTTCTCAATTACAGTAATGAGGGCGAAGGTTAACTTTAAATGCTAGTCAGGGGTCAAATGTCAACTTTGGTTAAAAGCTTTAACAATCTTCTTCTCAATTTCCATAAGGCCCAGGGTCATGATATTTAGCCAGTAAGTACCTGGGGTGTGGTGCTATAAAGTTTTCTCATTAAAAAGACCTAGACCTGCTTTGAAGGTCACAGGGGTCAAATATGTTAAAAACTTCAAACAACAATATCCTAAGAACCATTTGGACTAGTCATGATACTTAGGTTTGTTATGTAGACCAGCTGTGTGAATTATTTTCTTCATTACAGTAATGAGGTCAAAGGTCAACTTTAAGTGTAAATCGGGATTCAAATGTCAACTTTGGTTAAAAGCTTTAAAATTAAAATTTTAAGTTTTAAACAACAATATCTTCAGAACCGTTTAAGAGATGTTAAAATGTCTTGTGTTCTAGTTACCAAATGGTCTTAAGTTACCTATATGTCAGTTGCATGTAACAAAAGAAACAGGTGAGCAATACAGGCCCTCTGGGCCTCTTGTTCTGCTAATACTCACTACAGTGGATCGGTGCACTCTTGGGTAGATTGGAGATAATATTTTCCTCTTTCTAAAAATTTGCTTAGCTTATATCTTTTATTAAGTAATAATGGACCAAACTTCAGTCTGTTAACAGGACAACCATCAAACTAAAGGTACAACTATAAACAAGGTTAGATGTTTGTAAAAATGACCTATGTCTGACTGTTTTAGAGACATCCATGCTGTTGATGATGATGGAAAGACATGTCTCCATTACGCCTCCCAGTCAAAGGCCTCCCTAGCTCAGACTGTTGTCCAGGCCCTTATCACAGGAGGTCCTGATATAGGTAAATTTCCAGACCCTATCACGGGAGGTCCTGATATAGATAAGATGTCCAGACCCTATCACAGGAGGTCCTGATATAGGTAAGATGTCCAGACCCTATCACAGGAGGTCCTGATATAGGTAAGATGTTCAGACCCTATCACAGGAGGTCCTGATATAGGTAAGATGTCCAGACCCTATCACAGGAGGTCCTGATATAGGTAAGATGTCCAGACCCTATCACAGGAGGTCCTGATATAGGTAAGATGTTCAGACCCTATCACAGGAGGTCCTGATATAGGTAAGATGTCCAGACCCTATCACAGGAGGTCCTGATATAGGTAAGATGTCCAGACCCTATCACAGGAGGTCCTGATATAGGTAAGATGTTCAGACCCTATCACAGGAGGTCCTGATATAGGTAAGATGTCCAGACCCTATCACAGGAGGTCCTGATATAGGTAAGATGTCCAGACCCTATCACAGGAGGTCCTGATATAGGTAAGATGTTCAGACCCTATCACAGGAGGTCCTGATATAGGTAAGATGTCCAGACCCTATCACAGGAGGTCCTGATATAGGTAAGATGTCCAGACCCTATCACAGGAGGTCCTGATATAGGTAAGATGTTCAGACCCTATCACAGGAGGTCCTGATATAGGTAAGATGTCCAGACCCTATCACAGGAGGTCCTGATATAGGTAAGATGTCCAGACCCTATCACAGGAGGTCCTGATATAGGTAAGATGTCCAGACCCTATCACAGGAGGTCCTGATATAGGTAAGATGTCCAGACCCTATCACAGGAGGTCCTGATATAGGTAAGATGTCCAGACCCTATCACAGGAGGTCCTGATATAGGTAAGATGTCCAGACCCTATCACAGGAGGTCCTGATATAGGTAAGATGTCCAGACCCTATCACAGGAGGTCCTGATATAGGTAAGATGTCCAGACCCTATCACAGGAGGTCCTGATATAGGTAAGATGTCCAGACCCTATCACAGGAGGTCCTGATATAGGTAAGATGTCCAGACCCTATCACAGGAGGTCCTGATATAGGTAAGATGTCCAGACCCTATCACAGGAGGTCCTGATATAGGTAAGATGTCCAGACCCTATCACAGGAGGTCCTGATATAGGTAAGATGTCCAGACCCTATCACAGGAGGTCCTGATATAGGTAAGATGTCTAGACCCTATCACAGGAGGTCCTGATATAGGTAAGATGTCCAGACCCTATCACAGGAGGTCCTGATATAGGTAAGATGCCCAGACCCTCATCACAGGAGGTCCTGATATAGGTAAGATGTTCAGACCCTATCACAGGAGGTCCTGATATAGGTAAGATTCCCAAACCCTATCACAGGAGGTCCTGATATAGGTAAGATGTCTAGACCCTATCACAGGAGGTCTTGATATAGGTAAGATGTCCAGACCCTCATCACAGGAGGTCCTGATATAGGTAAGATTTTCACAGTCTCATCGCTTCATCATTAACAACTTTTCAATTGTCTACTGTACATAAACTATATTTGTACACTGGTACTATTGGTGCAGTATACATGTATTGTTCTGTAAGTCATTTTCAGCCAAAATGTCATGAATAATCAGTAGAAACTCAAAGGAATGAAGCACCTTTTTATGAGATTTGTTTGTAGATGTTGGAAACTAAACAAAGTCAACACTTTAAGCAAGTTAGAAATAAAACATGTGTTTCTTTCTGATTTTTATCTCGCCTGCTACGGATGTCGGGATGTTAAATTTTTGCGTTTAGCTCTGTTTCTCAAAAAGTATAAGCACTAGACCAACCCAACTTGGACCATACATGCGTTTCATATACTTTACCTCAATCCATACATCAGTTGCTGAATGTGCCCTATATTTTGCAGTTCAGTGACTTTGACAGGATCTTCATCAATGTTCAGTTTTTGCATTTAGCTGTGTGTTTCATGCTGTATCTCAAAAAGTTAAAGTGTTGGACTAAATAAACTTCGGGTCTACCTTACAATGCTTCACACATTGAATCTTATGATCAGGCGGGGACAGGCGAGACATCTAATAACGTGTAATCCTTGTGTGACACAAATCCTTGCTTCAATCTGGTCTATAAAATTGGTCTACAGGATCTGTTTTTATTCTCAGACTATGACTATTTGACTGAAGTCATTTTTTTCCCCCAGACCTTAAGGACAAGCGCCTATTTGCCCCGATTCATTGTGCCTCCCAGAGTGGTAACATGGAGTGTATAGAAGTCCTCATCAATGGAGGATCCTGTGTTAACTGTCGAGGGTTCGCAGGGACCACACCTCTCCACATCACAGCCTACAACGACAATGAGCAAACTGCCTGCTGTCTACTGAAGCATGGCGCTGATGTGACCTTGACAGATGATCGTGGTCTCACTCCAGTAGACCTGGCTCGAGGTAGGAAGATGAAGACAACGTTAAAAGAGGCATGGGCAGAGGCGACTCAGGGCCGTGCTCCCACAAACCTGGCTCCCGTGAAGGCTCACTCTCGCCAGGAGACTCGAGCATCACTGGAGGACCTCAACAAAGGCAAGAAGGGAGGAGAGGTCATATTCGATGTAAGTTCAGAGGTCAGAGGTTATAGAGGGTGTAGTATTTCAGCTGTATAAGTCTACCCAAATAGTTGAGAGGAATATGAGGTGTTAAAAGGGTTAAACCTGGAAAAAAACCAGAACCATTTTCCTATAAAAGGATATTTCCTGCTGTTATTGTGACTAAAACAGTTGTCAGAATTCTATCATGTATTGTTCACTGTTTGAAATATTTAGGTATAATGATCTAGACTTTTATCTTTTTCAACAAAATTGTCTGGAAACGTTATTTATGAAATATGAATTTAATTACCTCTTTTCCAGATAATTGCATTATGGGGGACTTGCTTTATGTTAGTGTGTTTCTTTTTCAGAATATGCCAACCAACCCCTTTGCCAACATAAAGAATGCACCTAGCAGTAAGTACTTGTATGTCCCTGTTCTCCCCATGAATATCAGTTGATATTAAAAGAATTACCAACACACTGCTTCATAAACAGGTCAACAGTAGCAGCTGTGTTGAAGAAATTGTTGTGTTATACAATGAGACGTTTTTGTGTACCATATGAGGAAGTTTGTACTCCTTGTGACCTGAGATTTGTATCTTTATACACATTATTTCATAAGGAGGCACGGTAGTCTAGTGGTAGGACGCCGGGCTTGTGACTGAAGGGTTGCGGGTTGGAGTCCTGGCACTGCACTGTGTTGTATCTTTGAGCAAGATAATTTACTTTGCTTGTTCCAGTCTACTCAGCTGTAAATGATTTCGCGGTTAGGCAGTGCTAGAATTGTTGAATGCTATCTGTCAGTACCGAAATGGCATCACCGGCTGTATGCTCCCCAGGGAGTTGAGAAAGATATTGGCTGGTTGCAAAGACCCTATAACCACGGATGATAATTTGTGAACCACTTTGAGACGACTTTAAAGCGGTATATAAGAACCTCAAATTATTATTATTTATTATTATTATTATTAAACTATTTGATTTTACAGAGGGGCGCTTGGTGTCCCGACACCTTAGCCTGAGGGACAAAGAAAAGGCAAGGCGAGCAGAGGAGTCAATGAAGAGGGACCTAGATAATACCACCTTTACCCCAGGACCTTATGTCAAGTAAGAATAGACAACAGCTCCCTAGGAACTTACTAGTAACCCCAAACCTAAGGTGTACTGATAAAAGGCTGGGATATTGTATCAACATACCATTTTAATTAGAAAAGAATGGATAGCTCACTTAATTAGAAAGCTTGCCAAAGAGTCATTTTTGTCTTGCCGCCACGAAGTAGCAGAAGCAAGACTAAGGCGTTACTTTCCGGCGACAGCTTCAACATTAAGATTTTGCGGTTAACTTAGTGTCACTGAAAGTATAAGTGCTAGACCAACCAAACTTGGACCATAGATACGATACATCTTAGGTAGTACAACTCAACCCATGCTGGATGCAGCCTACCTTTCATGGTCCATTGACTTTTCAGCATCTCCATCAACATTAAGTTTTTGTGTTTAAATTAGTTTCTCTGATATGTGCATTGATGGTCAAAGCGGGGCACAGGCGAGACATCAATCTGAATGGCTTGTAAAAGCTGTATAACCTGTGGGATATATACAATTGTCAGTATTCAATTACATTATAATGGTATAATTTTGATAAACTTGTTGATTGGATCAGTGTATTTCTGAACAAAATATACTTACTGATTAGGAAAACAGGTATTGTTACTGATTAGGAAAACAGGTATTGTTACTGATTAGAAAAACAGGTGTCGTTACTGATTAGGAAAACAGGTATTGTTACTGATTAGGAAAACAGGTATTGTTACTGATTAGAAAAACAGGTGTCGTTACTGATTAGAAAAACAGGTGTTGTTACTGGTTAGAAAATCAGGTGTTGTTACTGATCAGAAAAACAGGTGTTGTTACTGATCAGAAAATCAGGTGTTGTTACTGATTAGAAAAACAGGTGTTGTTACTGATTAGGAAAACAGGTGTTGTTACTGATTAGGAAAACAGGTATTGTTACGGATTAGGAAAACAGGTGTTGTTACTGATTAGAAAATTAGGTGTTGTTACTGATTAGAAAATCAGGTGTTGTTACTGATTAGAAAATCAGGTGTTGTTACTGATCAGAAAAACAGGTGTTGTTACTGATTAGGAAAACAGGTGTTGTTACTGATTAGAAAATCAGGTGTTGTTCCTGATTAGGAAATCAGGTGTTGTTACTGATTAGAAAATCAGGTGTTGTTACTCGCAGCACGTTTGTTACTCAATGTGTAAAGGTAAAGATGATATCAGTACTTAAAAAGGTGTTTTTGTTGTTTCTGAGTCATAGTGATAAAAGACCCTTTATTGTTGTTTACAGAGATGGTGTGAGAAGACTTGGCATGACAAGGAACCAGTACCCGTCACCTCTACCCAAGGGTAAAGGTTATCAAAGACTGCCAGCTATCAGCCCCGACAGAATGAGTATAGATCGTAGCCAGGAGTGCCCTTCACCTTTCAACCGCAACAGTCGCTACCGCAGATCTCTCGATGAAACCACATTGTCCTATTCCAGGAATTCACCTAATATGGGTATGCAGCAAATTTAGGAAAAAGAAATAAGAAATTAAGCAAAACAGTGGCTAAATAACATCAAATTCTTTAATCCTTATGGTTCTAGTTATCCGTGACGGTAACAATATTTAGAATTTATAGTCATAATGTGTTTGCAGTACATTACTTTTTGCCTTATCATACAGATAAGGTAAAATTAAGGTTTGTAATTCGTCTTGTTAACATTTATAATGGTATACAACACACTTCTGTTCAAACATATTCCCACAATTTAAGGTAAACAGAACTATTGTATAAAAGTCTACCTGTTGTATAAAAGTGTTGTATAAAAGTCTACCTGTTGTATAAAAGTCTACCTGATGTATACAAGTGTTGTATAAAAGTCTACCTGTTGTATAAAAGTCTACCTGTTGTATACAATTGTTGTATAAAAGTCTACCTGATGTATAAAAGTCTACCTGTTGTATAAAAGTCTACCTGTTGTATAAATTCTACCTGTTATATAAAATTCTACCTGTTGTATAAAAGTCTACCTGTTGTGTGAAAGTATACCTGACTCTGGCCAATGTTTATATGAAGTTATACATAGTATCATCTGTCACAGCCACCTTTCCTAATACTGGAGCATCCAAAAGGAGGGTGTCCCCACTGTCTAATAAAGAGGGCTGCCTTACCCCGCTCAGTTGTGACTACGACAGTGGACCCGGCAGTACTAGGTAAGTCAAGATAGGTATGAGACAGTAGTGATAGGAGATTGTAAATGAAGTATGCAGTGTTCACAGCAGTTCTTATCAAACTAAAGTACAATATATAAAAAGCAATGTTATATTGTATAAAACTTTCCATGAAACAAACGCGAATAAATGTTCTAAAGGAAAAGTAATATCTATATTTTTTCAATCAGTTTCCCATATTATTTAGAATTATCAAATTAAGATCTAAAACTTCAGTTGGACTGATAGAAAAGTACACCCTAACATACACCCTGATATAAAATCTGCTACCCCTGGGAGTTTGACTGATAGAAATGTACACCCTAGCTGACATAAAATCTGCTACCCCTGGGAGTTTGACTGATAGAAATGTACACCCTGACATAAAATCTGCTACCCCTGGGAGTTGTAATAGTGAAAATGTGCACCTTTTCAGTTAGGAGTTTCCAACTCGCAACAAATCTTTTTTATCATGGTAATGGTCACAATTATGAACATACGTTTATATACTTGGAATATTTTTCTGATCAGTGGTATAATTGCTATTGTGTAATCTTCAGTTTTAACTGTATATCTATGTGTGTCCCTATAATAGAATTTATTGTTGTGTTTGTACATTTGAAGGTTAACTTCATGCTCTCCCACACTAAACCAAAAACCAGCCCGACACCAGCGGTCTGGGTCAGATACCCTGCCCTCTACCAGCATAGCGGAGGTAGCTGCCTCCTATAATCTCTACCACAAAACAGGTGAGTGTGTGACCTCTACCACAAAACAAGTGAGTGAGTGACCTCTACCACAAAACAGGTGAGTGTGCGACCTTTTGTGGTGACCTCTACCATAGAACAGCTGAGTGAGTAACCTTTACCACAAAACAGCTGAGTGAGTGACCTCTACCACAGAACAGCTGAGTGACCTGTACTATCTTTTATTACTAATTAAATGTAATACCAGTCATGATTAATATGTTGTCTATCGAGTGAAGTGTTCTTGTTTGACTACTAATGTTTTTACCAATGTATAATTAATCCTTTCTAATAACCTTACAAAGAAATCCTTTTTTGTTCCAGAAGACATGAAATCTTAACACAATGTCTTAAATGTTATGTTACTGGTTCAGTAATTGTGATCAATAACTGTGTGTTTTCCTGTTAAATGATGGCTGTGTTTGTGTCCGTGTTCTTACCAGGTCGATCTGTGTCTATGTGTCAGTCTGACGACTTTGGTGATGCTTGTTTAAACTCCCCACGACTAACACCCCTGAGAATCCCGCAGGAACTGGGCGGACATGTGTGTAGCTCTAACAACCTTGATCTAGGTAACAAGTTTCTTTCAATTTCAAAGTATTTTATTGACAATACATATATAATACAANTTTCTTCTTATCAATCAACTCTCTGTGTTTACATTTCTGTTTTGTCTTTCTTATCCATCGTGTCGTTTTGAATTAACAAAACACCTATACACCAAGATCGAGTAAACTTACGTCATATGAAAAGAAAATTTACCAATTGTAAATGGCCTACCTTATATATACATACATATTTCATGGTAATGGAAAAAAAATTGCCGGTAACATTACATGAAAATAATTGTGTGTGATATTTAAACAAAAGGTTTGACCTTGTTCACATACATACCCATTGAGTTATCCCCCTTTCTCCTCAGACCGTATGGGCCTGTTAAACAAGTGCCAGACACCTGTCCAGAATGCCCCACTGTTTCCCACATCCTCCAAGGTGCTGCCCCCAACCCCGACGATGATGGGGGAGAAAGCCCACAGCTGTCTCGAGTCGTGTATGACCAATGCTGACTGGAACTCCAAGGTCTGTTTAAACCCAGCATTGTTTACTCTGATATCTACAGCACCAGACATTTTAAGTCACTTACTTTGATTCATTTCACTTGGTCATTCTTCATTTTCTTTTCAAAATAAATCATAATAGTCAAGTATGGTATTTATTTGAACTGGAGTTTTAAAGCTTAACAATCATATGTCAATAATGTTTTTACCAAACTTGTATCTTGCTGTAGTTGTGAAAGAAAACAGTTGTCAGGTATAAATTGAAAGAGCTATAAACTATATCAAGTAAAACAGGTTGATAATGAAATTGAGCAATTAACTCTCTGATTTTTTATCATCATATTCATTTATTTTACTTTAAACGACTTCTTCTTAATAACCGAAAGGCCCAGGGTGATGACATTTGGCCAGAAGCAAACTGGGATGAAGGGCTACAAACGTTGTTAAAATTAATGACCTTCACCCATTTTCAAGGTCACAGGGGTCAAATATGTTAAAAACTTTAAACATCTTCTCCATAACCAAAATGCCCAGGGAGATGTTTTTGTCCAGTAGCATGCTTGGGTGAAGGGATACCAAGTTTGTTCAAATGAATGACCTTCAATGATATTCAAGGTCACAGGGGTCAATTGTCTTAAAAAACTTTTAAACAACTTCTTCTAAATAACCAAAATGCCCAGGGTAATGATATTTGGCCAGTAGCATAATTAGATATAGGGCTACAAAGTTTGTTCAAATACATGACCTCCACCCATATTCAAGGTCACAGGGGTCAAATATGTTAAAAACTTTAAACAACTTGGTCTCAATAACCAAAATGCCCAGGGTAATGATATTTGGCCAGTAGCATAATTAGATATAGGGCTACAAAGTTTGTTCAAATACATGACCTCCACCCATATTCAAGGTCACAGGGGTCAAATATGTTAAAAACTTTAAACAACTTCTTCTCAATAACCAAAATGCCCAGGGTGATGATATTTGGCCAGTAGCATGCTGGGGTAAAGGGTTATCAAGTTTTTCAAATGAATGACCTTCA